ACCAAAACCATTCCCCAAGCTTTAATATAAACTCTACCCTGACATCCTAAAAGCCCACAACTGTGGGATACAGAAAAGTTATTCTCCTGGTTTGTCCCCCATATTATATGCCAAGCCTAAGATGCTGCTTGCTAACACTAAGTCAATGACTGTACACTTGGAGGTCAACTCCTTAGAGGTTATCTGCTTGAGGGTTATCAGCCACCTACAGCAATCAGTCCCTACTGTCTGTCCCAAAATAGGCGGGGCCCACTCCCTTCTGATCAGGATAGTGGATTATTCCCCTGAAGGACAGCCCAAAGTCAAGGGCAAACCATATCAAGGAAGATCAAGGTTAGGCTGCCATCTAGACTTTAGAGTCAGCCCATCTTATCACATGTATACCCCTAGTGCTTCCCCTTCCTATTGCATGCATACCCCTCGCTTGTCCCCTTCCTGTCCTGCGTATGCCTATTGTACAGCCCCTTCCTGTTATGTATGTGGTTACCTGTAATCAGAGGGGCATGCATGTCCCCTAAAGGTATATAAGCCATGAATGGAAATGTATTCGGGCTCCCTGGGCTGACCTGGCTGCTGAGATCATAGCCATCTGACAGGTGAGAAACTGCATGCTTTATCTTGTCTCATATCTCTTTAATTTTACCCAACCACCCCTTAGATCCATTCAATGTGGGGCTGGTACCCCACACACAAAGTAAAACAACGTACTACCAGACACTGTCCCCAATGGCTTAAAAGACCTCTGGCTTCACAGTCTTGACACCAAGACAAGGTCTAGACTCCACAGAGATGTTCTTTTATTGGTATTCTTGTTGCTATGTGTTCTATCATTCCCTACCCCCTTTAAACCAAAGTTGTGCACTGTTCTTATAATTTATCCCTAATTCTCCATTGGTATACAAAAGGACAGGGGGGAAAATACTGTTTCTTTACTTTCTTGCTTTCAATTTAATTTGTATGTTTTCCAGTCCCTCAACACATCCAGAAGATAGTACCCACATGGAAGAAAACACTCCTGGGCAAATCTTAGAGCCAAATCAAACATTCATCAACAGCTCTTCCACTTCTTTTCCACCTAGTATTTGTAAGGTAGTCAAGAGGTGCCAGAAACCAAATCAGCCGAATTAGAGCAAACAGGCTTTATTGGGGAGAAAAACCCACCTGGGTGAAGTCCCACAGTCCACAACGTCCGGGCTGGGGGAGTCGCACTGCAGGCTACAGAGGTGATGCTTATATATGGGCAGGTATGTCCGGGTTTCTGGAATGTAAGGTGTCTTCCTGGTTCGGGGTGTATTCGTGCCAGGGGCAGAACGGAGGGCAAGAACAAAGCAGGCACTGAGCCAAATGGGCTGAGCTGGGTGAAGAGTGGAAGGTCGAGAGCAAAGTGGGCACTGAGGAAAATGGGCCGTGAGTAAAAGAAAGAAAAAAAACTTGCTAAACTGTTGACAGGTTACATAGCCAGCTCTGCAGGTGTGTGTGGGACATTCAAGGCCACTTGCTGCTAGAAGCCGGCCTGGTATTGATCCGGCCATACAGTATTATTTTTTCTATTTTTATTTTTAATGCTTTTGTCTCTGGCCCTTTCCTTTAATTTTAATATCTAAAATTTTACTTCAGAACACTTTTACCTACCCTTTTTTCCTTCTTATTAATCCTTTGCTTTCCTTCTCATCCTCATAAAGCCAAAAGTTCAAACAACTTTTACAAGTTTTTTCTTTTTCTATCAAATATTAATACCCATTCCTTCATAAAGATGAAACAGGCATTTTTTTAATCAAATTTCCCTTATTTTAACCTACCAATTAACACTACCTCATCCCTCTTTTGTTTACTTTTTCCTTTCTTTTTGCCTTCCTCCAACACTTCCTCTAACACACCTCTACTATATCACTTACCAGAGGCTCCCACATAACCTCAACTCCCTAATACTCCTAAAAGCTACCCAAAGATGTCAAGAAAGCAGAAGATATTGGTGTACACACACACACACACACACACACACAAAGGAAACAGACACAAATAATTGAATACCAACCAGACCTAAATGAAATGCACGAAATTGAAGAGGGTATGGAATTACCAAAACAGAATTTGAAAGAATGATGGCACTCAGACACCAAGTGAAGGAAAACTCTGGGAGGAAAACTAAAAAAGTAGAAAATGTAGAACCCTCATTAATTGCCATAAAGACAGAAACAAACAAACAAAAAAAAACAGTATAATAGCAGTATTACACAGTAATATATAAGAATAGAGAAACAGGATTGAAGAGATGGAAACTCAAAGTAGTGGGCTTGCAGACTCTAATCTAAAGGAAAAACAAATTTAAAAAATGGAGATGATAATGAGAAAGCTTTGAGAACAATGTGGAACACAATCAAGAGGAACAATTTGCACCTAACAAGATTACAGAAAAGGAAGAAACAAAAAAAAAATCCACAGAGAAGAGTTTAAGAACTCCTGCAAGAAAACATTCCTCAGTGCCCAAAGAGTGAAAAAATAATTATTCAGGAAGCTGAAAAATCCCCAATCAGAGCAATACCAAAAGGAACACTCTGACATATGGTAGTCAAGATGTCTAACATCAACAACATGGAAAAAGTTCTAAGAGCAGCCAGGGGAAAAAATATCAATTACATACAAAGGGTTAGCAATTAGAATAACTTCAGATATTTCAGTAGAAACCATGCAGGCAAGAAAACCATGGAGTGACATACGCAGGGTCCTGAAGGGGGGGGAAAAACCCTGTCAAGCTAGAATCTTGTACCCAGCAAAAATATCACTCAAATATGATGTATTTGCATTCTAATGGAATACAAATGGAAGTATTCTAAACAAGGAGAAATTAAAACCAGCACTAAAAAAACACTCAGTGAAGTACTATGGGCAAAAAAATCAACAACAGCAGCACACAAACCTGAAACCAGTATTTGTTTAGGGGGCATGAGTTTATGTTAATAGTAGTGGAATAATTTGGAAAAGGCTATCAACGATTATTGTACAACATGAAGAGTATAATCAACGACACTGAATTATACATGTAGAAGTTGTTGAATTGGAAACTGTTTTGTTGTGTGTAGTTTTGCCAAAAATTTTTATAAATTACATGAATAATAATGAATAGAAGGAAGAAAATATTCTAAAGTTGATTGCTGTAATAATTACACAACTCTCCTTGATATGAATTATTGAATTGTATGACATGCGGATGAAGGGCCATTAGAACTGTTAAAAAAAATCAAGTACACAGAAACTGAAGAATATATTGCCTAATAACTACTAGGTAATTGATGAAATAAGGAATGTAAAAAGAGTGTTGACCTTGATATAATGGAAAAATGTGATCCAAAGAAGCCGAGATCTGAGAAGGGAAATAAAGGAGCAGTAGATGGCTAAGTTGTTGGAGGATTTGATTAGTATTTAAGAGTGCAGAATACAAAGTTGCTGACCTGAAATGTAAACACCCAAATTACAAATTAAAAAAAAATTTTTTTTAATTATTTCAGGGAAAAAAAGTTCATGATTACTTCTCCAAGGTTCAACTGTTGGTCTCACTTTGTATAGAGAAAAGAAGAATGAAGAAAAGTAAAGATACTTGAAAATAATTAGTTCAATCAATTAAATGAGTCTGATTTCAGAAGAACTGGATGGTTTCTGACTGCTAATTGTTTCCCAGCTGCTCAAAAACAGATCATTTTAGAGGATCCCAGATAGAATGGGGAGAAAAATGTGGAACAAAGTTCAAAATCATAAAACAAGACCAGGCTTACTAACTAGAGAGAGAATGGTGGAAGCCCACCCATCGGGTTTAATACTACACTTACCCTCATAAACCAATTTTCCGCCAAACAATAGAAAGATTTATAAGGGAAACAATAACACTAGGAGGATAGGCACACGTTAGAATAATCAATCAGCTGAGATGAAAACGGCAGTATTTACTCAAGGAAAAGTTCAAAAAGTTTAGGAAAGAGAGAAGTATAAAAACAGGAAATATATGGAAGTAGTCAGAATATTGTAAAGTTATATTGTGGAGATTTTAACCAAAGACAAGATATAAAATGTGTATGATATTTGAATTGAATACTCAATTTACTTGCACTGTAAATCTTTACCCAATAAATACACAATACAAAGTTTAATTTTAAAAAGATGATCTCTGATGATTGTACAATTCTTCTTAAGATGATTTAACTATTAAACTGCATGATTTGTGAATTATATACTAATAAAACTGTTAAACTTAAAAACTAATAACTAAAAAAGAAATAGCTCAACTACGATGCACCACCAACAATGCATTTGTTAGTTTTCTTTCACTCTCGTGTCCTTTGTAAAGCTCTTTATATCAGCAAACCCTTGGATACCGTTATGACCTCATGCTAATGGTTTATCTTGTCCTTGTCCCAGTTAAGACTTAATAAACGATCTCTTTTTTGAAAAAGAGCTCAGGACAAAACATTATAAAATTATGAGAAACAGAGCACATACACAAGAGTTTACAAGTATAATAAACAGGAATATTAGCATCAAATAATTAAGAGAGCAGAACTAGTGGAAGGCTATTGGAGACTGCACAGTAAAAGATAGCATGTGAGTTGAGAAAGAAGACTTAGTTTCAAATGTCAGCATAACCATCAGGGTTATGGTGATGGAATATTTTTGTTAGTTTGTGCCTGTTTTTCAGATTATCATCTCAAGCTTCAGAAAATCTTTACATGAGTTCTCCCTGAAATTTTCAATAGCTTGAAATAACTGTCCTTTGTAACATTTAACAATTGTAGATTATTTCTGTGATTGTTTTATTAATATGCAAATACTCTAGGAGGCTTTAAATTCCGTAAGGTCCAAGGATCACATCTGTTTTGCTCAAATTTTAACAATAATCCCTAGTTCAGACAAGAATTATATAATTTAAACTTAAAGTAAAAGGAAAATGTAAACACTTAAAAGATACATTTAAAATAAAACAAAAGCAGATAATTTGTAAAATAGCTTACCTACAAACAAATTCACTTAATTCTGCATAATCTGTAGGTTCCACTATTATATTCAGGTCGGTAATAACAGAAGATAAAATCTCCTCATTCTAAACAAAGAAAAAATGTTTCTGTATCAGATCACAATTCATTTTTTATATAAAAACTTGACAACATGCAAAATTAAATTTCACCAAGTAGCAGAAAAGGGATGGCCTTATACTTAAAATGTTCTTTTTTTAAATAATAAAAGCAGATACTTAATCGGTGGTGCTAAAAATCAAAAAGGACTTCTAATGAAATACTAAAATGTAAGTACTAAAACCATAGACTATGAGAGGAAAATATAAACATTTAACTGATTAATGGCCCCACTTTCGCAGGGGTCAGACCTAACCCAGGGGTACATATGGAAGCCAACTAAAAAGGAGTGCAAAGAAATTAAAAAAGAGGACATGGGTCGGGGGAACAGGGCACTAACCCTGTTCCCCTTCCATGGGGACAGAATTATTTATGCCTTCACAGGAACGGGAGAGAGGAACCAGACCTCAACCTGGTGCACCAAGATTTAAGGCAATATACCAGCATGACGCAGCGAAACCAACAGAGAGGTCTGTGGGGTGACCCCAATCCAGGCTGTACTAACTCCCCTCCCCAGAAGAATGCGCAACAGAGGACAGCACTAAAGATACAGCTTGGGGAGAGGAGCAGGTCTGTTCAGAACACACAGGAGCAAACTAAGAGGGAAGGGGAAAGAGGGAGAGAGTAGACCACATCCTGGCCCACAAAGTCCTGAGGAAAATATTCCTGCTAGGATCAGCAGGGGGACAACACTGGAGACACAGCACACTGATTGTGTCCAGTCTGATCCCCTCACACTGGGGTGAAACACAGAGGGCGTACAACAGAGCAGCAAGGGGAGCAAAGCAATGAAGTCCCTGAGAAATCCCAAAAATAGACTTTGGGGGCAGGGCTTGGCAGTTCATCAAATTCAATTGGAAAACATTCATAAAGGTCAACAACAGGCCTGAAACTAATTATAGCCCCACCCCCAACCCATGTCTATCTATGTAAGATAGGAGAATAAACAATCCTGAGGAGAAAACAATGGGTCTAACGGTTCCAGGGGGGCATGAGAGAGGGGGAGCTAGGGAAAAAGAAGGGGGTAGCCAACAACCCAGGGACAAGGGAACAAGTGATCTAAAATCGATGACAAGGAGGGCGTAGAATGCCTGGTGGGGTGTGGGACATAGAAAGGCTTTCCCCCAACTTGCCTCCCCCAAATATATGTCAGACCAAGGGCACTGATTGTAACTAATAGTAAATGATTGTCAAGTTATCTCCAGGAAGGCATTCAACCATCCAGAGCAATCAGACACTATTGTTTATTCCATCATAGGAAGGGCTCACACCCCACTGATAAGTATAGTGAGTGTGTCCTTGGAGAGCACGGAACCAGCTCAGTAACAACCAAGGTCAGGTTACCATCACGAATCTAGGATCCACCCATCTTGTCACATGTGTACCCCTAATCCCTCCTCTTCCTATTGCATGCATACTCCTAGATCACCTCCCTTCCATTGCTGTATGGCCTATGGTACTACCCCTTCCTGTGACATATGTCCTTACCTGTAACAGGGGGCTTTCACAGTCCCCAAGTATATATAAGCCTTCGTTAGAAATCAATCTCTCTCCTCTACTCCCCTCTAATCCACCCACATTCTGCATGGACCTGGCTGCTGAAATCATGGCCATCCAGGAGGTGAGCATGCTACCATAAAATGTGTCTGACTTTATTTTACTCTCTCTCCTATTCTCTATGACTTTACTATAATTTTTATTTATTATCACGGTACAGTTGAGACTACAGACCGGTGATTTGTTAGGGGCTGGTCTCCCCTGACAATGGGGCTTGATCAAGTTCAATGTAGCCTAGAGGAATTACTGAGTGCAGAATGAAGGTCAAACCTGGTAGTGGAAAAAGAGAAAAGACCAAGGAAATAGAGGAAAGAACTAGGAGGCAAAGAACATTTATAGAGGTGTAAATATGTAAATATATTCATATATAACAATAGAGAAATAGATCTAGGTACATTTATTTATAAGTTAAGTATTAACGTAGCAAACAGACATTGGACCTCTCTACTCAAGTATGCCTTCAATGGAAGAACACTTTGTTCTAACAAACTGGCATTCTGTGATGCTCACCTTCCCTGACATGATCTCTGAAGACAAAATGGCTGCATAAGCAAATGTGGTGAAGAAAGCTGATGGTGTCTAGCTATTAAAAGATATAGCATCTGGGGTCTTAAAGGCTTTAAGATCAACATGCAGCCATCTAGCTGGGAAGCAAGAAAGCCCACATAAAAGAAGTACACCAGCCTGTGTGATCACAAGGTGTTGATTGGATCAGGTATCAAAGAACATAAAATCATATCATTGTGAATGAGGGGGAGTGAGGAGTAGAGAGACCCAAAGCCCACCTGTAGGCAACAGGACATCCCCTTACAGAAGGGTTGTGGGGAGGAGATGAGCCAGTCAGGGTGCAGGGTAGCAACGATGAAACATACAACTTTCCTCTAGTTCTTAAATGATACCTCCCCTCCACTACCATGATCCCAATTCTACCTTACAAATCTGGCTAGACCAGAGGATGTGCACTGGTACAGATAGGAACTGGAAACAAAGGGAATCCAGGGCAGATGAACCCTTCAGGGCCAGTAGTGAGAGTGGCGATACCAGAAGGGTGGAGGGAAGGTTGGCTAGAAACAGGGGAACCAAGTACAAGGACCTACATGTAATCTCCTCCCTGAGGGACAGCCAACAGAAAAGTGGGTGAAGGGAGCCATCGTACAGTGTAAGATATGAAAAAATAATAGTAATTTATAAATTATCATGGGTTCACGGGGGGGGGGGGAGGGGGGATGGAGGGGAAAAAATGAAGAACTGATGCCAGGGGCTTAAGTGGAGAGCAAATGCTTTGAGAATGATGATGGCAACAAATGTACAAATGTGCTTGCCAAAATAGATGTATGGATCGTGGTAAGTTGTATGAGCCCCCAATAAAAAAATTTTTTTTAAAGGGGAGGTATCTTTGGTATATTAATTATGTAATATGGAATAGGGTTGGTTCTAAATCTAAGCAATTCTGAGTCATAAAAATAAAAAATTAAACATGGAGACACACTCATTGGGGAAAGAAGATCACCAAAGAACCAAGGAACAAAACCTGGGGTTGCAGATAAGGAAGGTTGCTGAGTCAGAATGACTGAGACTCAGATTTGGATTTTTAGCCTTTACTACCAGAAAAAGTAAATTTCTTTCTTTGTTATTGTTGCTGAATTTTTTGAAATGTTTTTCTTTATACAAAATCCAGGACAGGTAAATCTATAGAGACAGTAATTGGATTAATGATTTCTTGGGGATATAGCAGGGAAGGTTAGGGGGAAATGGGGACCTAATAACAGTAAGTACAAGAGGGAAAAATAATCTTCTAAAATTGACTTTGGTGATTATTGATTGTACAGGTTTTTTTATTGTACAGTTTTTCTTAATATGATAGAACTATTGAATTGTATATTAATTTTGTACCAATAATACTGTTAGAAGAAAAACTTGTGAGTGTGAATGTGGTGTTGCAGTGTAGTAGCTCTAGGAAAAGCTTAAACACCCTTGACAAGAGTAAAGTCATTTTGAGCTGACAGAAGCCATTATGAACTATAAATGAACTGTAAATGAACTATCTGATATTAGGGAGGTAGGTTGTGCAGACGTAGCGCAACAGAATGTACCGAAGAAAATGTATGCTCAGAAGGCTTGCGAGAACGACCAGAAAAGTTACTGTTCAACTAAGAATGGCTAACTGCAATATGCTACTTCTGTACTCTGCTTGCTTGCACGCCTGCACATTGCAAAAGTAGAAAAACCTTTGGAAAATTAGACTGGGGACCACTCAGTCTCCTCTCAAGAGGGCTGACAGTCCCTGAGCAGGAAATAATACTTTTTCTTTTGAACTTGTCTGCAGTCTGGGTTGTTTTCTACTGGTAACGGACAGTAGGCTACAACAGGAGGTTGTTTGGACCCATAGGTGCTATCCTTGACATCCCTTGGAATTGTGATGGCTTGGCTTCAGCTGTCAGCCTAGGACAGCTACCTGTGGCATCATGTTTTTCTGTAATATTTGTGGTGAAGCAATAACCTCAGAACTAGACATGAAGGCACACCTTATTGCTCATAAGGAAAATGAAATAATTTATCCATTATACAAGTTTAATCTTTGAATTATGATGAAATAGATTTTCATATTGAAACTGCTTTTTAGCAGAATAAGCTAAAAAAATTTAGCAGATCAATAGAATGCAGTATGGCGCTTCAGATGACAAAAAAAGGCAATATTGTACAGTGTAGAATGGAAGTTAATTCAAGTCTTCATTCTCTTGTGCATCAAATTCTCTGAGAAGTTTAGCTCAAAGCCTGCTTGAGGATGGTGCTTTACAACACAAAACCATTTATTCAGAGAACTTAATTTAGCAAATTTCAGAAAAGTAGAGAATAACAATCTATCAGAACCAAAATAAAAGGACCAATTATGAAATGATTTTCCCCTTGATATAGTTTATTATGCCAGCCT